GCCGTCAGAGCTGGTGGGCAGTGTTTGGACTAAAGAAGACAAAGAGATCAACTCCCCGAACCTGCTGCGAATGATCCGCCACACCACCAACCTCACGCTGTGGTTCGAGAAGTACGCTCTCGTGTCTTTAATTCAGATCCGTATCACTCACATGTGTGTGGGTTTCTGACGGTTTCTCGTGTTTCTCAGGTGCATCGTAGAAACGGAGAACGTGGAGGAGCGTGTGTCCATCATATCGCGCATCATCGAGATCCTGCAGGTCTTTCAGGAGCTCAATAACTTCAATGGCGTTCTGGAGGTGGTGAGCGCCATGAACTCATCGCCCGTTTACAGACTCGACCACACCTTCGAGGTGAGCGCGTTTACATTGCACTGTTGGATTAGTTGCTCTTCACTAGTACTAGAGCTATTACAGTTCAGCGTGTATGATTATTGTATTTCAGCAAATCCCGAGCAGACAGAGGAAGATTCTGGAGGAAGCTCATGAACTCAGTGAAGATCATTATAAGAAATATCTGGCTAAACTCAGGTCCATCAACCCCCCCTGTGTGCCCTTCTTTGGTACGTCCTTCTTTTTACACTGTTTTGCACCTGTGCTTTTTATCTCGCAATTCTGACTTTTATTTTTTGCTCTCAGAATTCTGATTTTACATTTCGCAATTTAGACTTTTTTTTCATAATTGCGAATTTATGTCTTGCAATTATAAGCACTATAAAGCACTATATAAATAAAGGTGACTTGACTAAGTTTAAATCTCTCAATTCTATTTATATCTAGCAATTATGACTTTTCCTCAAAATTGAGAATTTATATCTTGCAATTCTAAGTTTGCATCTCACAGTTGTTTTATATTTTGCAATTCTGACTTTTATTCTCAAAATTCCGAATTTTTATCTCACAATTTTGTGTTTAAATCTCTCAATTCTGACTTTTTCTCCTCAGAATGCAGTTTTCTTTGTTTCCAGCTTGGAATAAAAAAATAAATAAAGTAATTGTGATTTTTTTTATCTTTCAATTCAGACTTTCTCACAGTTCTGATAAGTAAAAAAATTCATTGTGAGATATAAACTGGTAATTTGAAGTAAAGTGCTAATTGTGAGATATAAAGAAACCCCTTTTCCGCTGCAGAATTTAAAAAAAGGTAATTGTGGGGGGAAAAAATTCTCACAAATCAGGCTTTTTTTTTCAGTTTCATCTCAAAATTACAAGGGAAAATTCACATTTCTGAGTTTTTATCTTGCAATTCTGACTTTTTTTTCCTCAGAATTCTGAGTTTACATTTCACAATTTAGACTTTTTTTTTTCAAAATTGCTAATCTATGTCTTGCATTTCTAAGCACTATAAAGCGCTATATAAATAAAGAGACTTGACTTGATTAAGTTTAAATCTCTCAATTCTGCTTATATCTTGAAATTCTGCCTTTTTATTTAAAAATTGTAAATTTATATCTTGCAATTCTAAGTTTAAATCTTGCAGTTCAGTTTAATCATGCAATTCTGACTTTTTTCCACAAAATTGTGAATTTATATCTCACAATTCTAAGTTTGCATCTCACAGTTGTTTTAGATCTCGCAATTCTGACTTTTTTTCTCAGAATGCAGTTTTGTTTGTTTCCAGCTTGGAATAAAAAAGTAATTGTGACTTTTTATCTTTCAATTCAGACTTTCTCACAGTTCTAACGAGTAAAAAAAAGAATTGCGAGACATAAACTGGCAGTTTGAAGAAAAGTCCTAATTGTGAGATATACAGTTGTAATTACATTTTTTTATTATTCAATGGTGGAAACAAAAAAAAACAGAATTGTGAGATATAAAATCAGATTTGCGAGAAAAAGTCTGAACAGTGAGATAAAAAGTCGCAATTATCTTTTTAATTTTGGAAACGGGCTTCCTTTGGTTTCTGATGGCATTGACTGTGTGTTTGATTGCGATCTTCTCGTTTTAGGGATTTATTTAACAAACATTCTGAAAACTGAGGAGGGAAATCCAGACTTCCTGAAGAGACACGGCAAAGAGCTGATCAACTTCAGCAAACGGCAGAAAGTGGCGGAAATAACCGGAGAAATCCAGCAGTACCAGAACCAGCCGTACTGCTTATGTGTGGAAAACGACATACGGGTCAGAAACACTGTTCACGTTAATTACACTACCGCTTTTTAAAGAAATTAATACTTGATGCATCATCAAGGACTTATTTCATTGGTGACAGTAAAGACATTTATAATGTTACAAAAGATTTCTATTTCAAATAAATGCTGCTCTTCTGAACTTTCTATTCATCTGTGAATCCTGAAAAATAAAATGACACAATGTCACATTCTGTTGATGCTGCAGAAGTTCTTTGAGAACCTGAACCCGATGGAGGACATGACGGAGAAGGAGTTCGCCGACTATCTGTTCAACAAATCTCTGGAGATCGAGCCGCGTAACGCTCGCACGCTGCCTCGATTCGTAAGAACTCGCGCCGAATGGTTACACAACGAACACGAGAGCCTCCTGATCTCGGTGTTAAACCCTCAAGTGCTTAGGGATGTGAACCAGAATAGTGCCGATTTACAACTAAGCCTGAGTTCAGTTGTGTAACAGTGAAAAAGCCCAAAACCTCACGCAGGTGGAACTCCAAGAAGACGTCAAACGGTCTGTTCAGAGGAGTGTTCAATCAGGCGGTGGCTCTAGATCATCGGCTCTCAATCTTTCTGACTCCGATGTCCCTTACTGTAAAATAAAATATTCCAGGATATTTCTGCTTCTTCTGCTGTAATGAGAAAGCTGCTCATTTTGAAACTCGTTTACAGAATCTAGAAGTGACAATAATATAATGAAAATAATTATTTTAAAATTATATTTAAAAATAATTATTTTAACTACTTATTAAAATTGAAACTATTAAATAATAATTATTTTTACATTGATATTTTTTACATTAGTGTTATTTACATATATTATTATTTTTATATAATTTAAATATTTAAAATATTACAATATAGTTTCTTAAAATAAATAGAAAAAATGGTAATTAAATTCCATAATTTCAGAAATTTTAAATGAATGTTCTTCAGGATTTAAACGTTTTATTACCAATGAATTAACATGATTTTTCTAGTTGTTCATGATTACTAGAATT